CTTACAGGTTTTGAAATTTGGGAGTGCTATCAACACATTGGCACCCTTTTTCGATTTTATACTCTCCCAATGGGTAACAAGTTTGATATCACTCCTTTTATCTACATTTTCCATCGTTTTACCATAAACTGAGTTCACCATATTCTTGTATAAACACTTGTCGGCTTTGTTTTTACTTTTGTTACGCATCTCTGTATTGAGGTCAACGTATTTTTTCAACCATGGTGATTGAAGAAACTTCAAGGCCCTATGGATTTTAACCAATACCAAACCATTTTCAATAGCCTGTTTCAGATTTCTATAATGAACGATATATTTAATTTTGTTGAAAAGATTAGGAATCAGTTTTTTCAGCTTAGAAGTCGAACCAGGAGGGACAATGGATTCCACGAGGAAAGGGAGATCTGAGTGGACATCATGTAATTCTTGGGGGTAGTACACATCCACTTCGAGTACATACCCACATGGGCTATCATCTGCAACACTCATAATATCTAATTCACTAATTTCCTGATAAGTTAACCACTTGAAATCGGAAGTGGGTAGCGGTTGTGACATACTATGCCCATATAAGTTAGTCGCATCTAAATACATTATGAATGATGAAGGCTCGCTTGGATTGAAATTTGGAAGGAACTGATTGTTTGCTACATGGCTCCTCAAGCTACATTGGCTTATCCCCCCTCTTATGCCTTTTTTGAAGAAATTTATCATGTCAATGTCGGTCAACAACTCCAATTCGATTTTCGTATACCTCAACATAGCATCCCACGATAAACCGGGTGCTGTATAATATTGGCACGGATCTAACTTATACGTTTTCAAACAAACCTCCCGAAAGTTCTCGAACACATCGCATAATAAAAGAACATCCGATTTCAAATAAGCGTCTGAATAATCCCCTAGCGTTTTACATTCGAATAATTTCCACACGTGCTCAGCTCTTCGATAATCCTCATCTGAAATGTGCCTATTAGATAAATTATCGTAAAAATCATTTTTAGTCGGTAAATTTTGATTGTCGAGTTTATCTATGGAGGTTACGAAGCTATATGGGAAAACACCTTTCTGTGTCATATATTCGAATTTTTCGCGATCTGGAAAATATCTAGCCGTTTCGACAAACTGATCTGTATTCAAATTCCCGGCTAATGATTGAAGAGGTTGTGCGAGAAATTTGTAACTATCTAAGAATCGGAGTTTCAGAAAGATATTATGATTTTGACCATTTTTCCCCAAATATTCACCAACTAAAATGTGCTTAGTAAATGAAATATATTTTTCCTTAGTTTGTGCGACACAATCGACTTTCTCTTCGCGATCAAATAATTGCTTTATGAATAGATGGCTATCATAGCCGCTCATATTGTGAAAGAAAATTGGTATGAAATTCGGGATTTTGTAATTCAAATTGCATGCTGAATGTGCTGCCCCAAATCTTTTTTTACCCGTCAAATGACAGTGATCTCTCACTTTTACATCACCTAACCGGAATGGTTTTTCGCAAATGCCACACTTGGTAGCATTAGCAAAATCGGCTTCTTCTACTTTCGTTAATTTTCTCATTGGAACTACGTTCTTCAGATATAAGTCATATATTTTTTTCGAATCATTTACTATACTAGATACAAATTTCTTCGCCGCATCTTTTCCGCGGAATGTAACAAATTTCGTGATGGAATTGTCGTAGGAGCATTTGATGAGGTATGCGAATGAGTATGGTTCATGCACAAATGTTCTATTAGTATAGGATTTCTTCGGGTCCGGCTCACTAGTGTGTATCGGCTTCAAAACTGATTCAAAATCCGCATATATAACAAAAGGTACCATCATTTGTTTCTCAAAATTCTCAAATTTCAAAATATTTTCAGGTACTGAATTTCCAAATTTATCTACTTTGACTGCTGTAGTTGGTGTTGTCGTAAATGTGTGATTACAGTCGCTCAATTGATGACGTAATAGCTTAGCCTCATCCGAAAAATGTATCAAACACCCATCGCAGAAAAATTTCTTATGCCCGTTCGAGGACATTTGGGCGGACACCAATCTAGATAAATGTTTTATCCAACAATAGTGGCTCTCACCCGAATCATTCGTTATAAGGAGCAAGTTCACATGTTTACTCATTCTTTTCTTCGAATAATAGAGTGGGCCGACAACGTGGTATTTAACTTGTTGATTTTCTATTACGCTTTCTAACCCATAAACGTTGATGGAGCAATCATTGAGTATTTCAAATTTTGGAATTTTACTTACTTTCATAGGAAACTCTATACCACTCAGATTCAAAACTGTAGAGAAGTGCGGGTATGAAGATATCTCACAAAGTTTGGTCCTTGCTGGATATAGGGCGGACGTCACGGCCCAAGCAAAACAGCATTCATCCTGATTCACCACATTCACTACCGCCCTCTTATTGTCTATGAAACTAGGTAGTTTGATGTAGGAACACCCACGCAGCGGACTGTATTTATTGATGTTTATTTCGAGAAATAGTATTTTCTCTAGAGCCCAACCTGTAACAATGGAAAAGTGATTGTTTTATTTATTCAAAGAATTGAGTTATATAGATGTGATAATGCAGATATTCAAATCATTCTCAACTCACCGGAATCGCGTTCCTCAAATTCAGTTGTTTGGTTCACGATGATGTCTTTGAATGTATCGATGATGGCATCCAAATCAAGGGATGAATCTACGATGTGATTCGGTGTCGCAAAGGATTTGATGTCGTGAAGATCCTGAGATTGTAGAATATATCTACCGAATACTTCCATATTAACCTTGATGGTGTGGTGAATCGACAGCATATTCCCCAATAGGGATGATAAAGTCACCTTATTTTCGGTAAAGAACGTGTTATAATCCAAGACATCCGTTCTACATTCCAATCTATAACTGATAATGCGACACTTGAATGCGTTTTCGATAACATATACACCATCTCTATAATTAACGCAAGCGTTCGAACGATGTTCCAAAGTCCTTTTGTGGGCAGCCATTTTATCGATTGGAACGGTTTTATTGCAAACGGTACACGCTTGCATGTTGCCAGACGTTGATGCTTGATGAATAGTATCACCCAACCGCGGCCTCTTCGACATTGGTGGATCGAGATTTCCCACACACGACTTTTTTTGGTGGCGGCGTAAATTGTCACTGCGAGTGAAAGATTGGCCACAAACGCAGGTCAACATGTTTATCACTCGCGAAAAGAAACGATAGAGTTGAACGATCGACGATGTCAGGAAGACTACAGTCTGGGCATGCAGAAATCGGATTTATAGAAGAGGGGAGTCGTGGCGTAGCCTCACCCCACTACACCATCAAACAGCCTTGGGAAGAAGAACACATGCGCACGAGAGTGGATACACTCAACCCAAGGCCACCACGACAATTGTCCGAGATGAAACCTCCGTATCCCTCCCAAGGTCACTCCCAAGGTCACTCCCAAGGTCACTCCCAAGGTCACTACCAAGGTCACTCCCAAGGTCACTCCCAAGGTCGCTCCGAATGTCACTCCTCCAAGGCCACCCCCCAAGGTCACTCCCCCCAAGGTCACTCCACCCAAGGTCACACTCCTCTGGCCTTGGGGGGAGATTTGGAAATGGCTAAAGCCCTCTACTTACAAATCTTTCCTTCTTTGGTATTTATTCACGTGCACACAGCCCAGCAACCCTCACTGATATAACAATGGCTGGTACCACCATTCCATTATATCTATGCAAGGTATTTCCATCAGCATTACTCTTTCATGGGCGAAATATATGTCCGATCCATCGCGAAAGCTGATGTACCGCAAAAACTCGAATTTTCATTCCGTGCGAACATCTATTTACACAACAGCTTCTCATGATCTACAAAACAGAGATACGGTCAGTTTTAGAATACTGTTCTCACACATGGGGTTCAGAACCCAAACATACGCTGATGATCGCAGATTCCATTCAGAGAAGATCCATTCTTCTGGTGGGTGATGCCACACTCACTAGTTATTTGACCTCATCAGAACACCGTAGAAAAGTCGGAGACATTTCACCTGTAATCTTTGCCTGCATCCCTCTATAGATACTTCTACCTTGAATGGACTATGTCGAATGATGCTCTAGCAAAACTCGTTCGTCTGAAGCTAATTCTTCGCTAAGGAAAGGTGTTCCAAGAACCTTATAACCTCCAAAATTAAAAAAAATCCAATACCTACCTCCTCTCCCAATTCTCCCTATTCTTCAAACATCATAGGAAGTTCCTTTCGTTCGCTCCAAGAGATAAAAAAGGGCCGTAGCCTTATTAGGAGACATTTTACAACTACAGTGCAGACTCGATAATCCGAACGTTCAATAATCCGAATTCTTCAGTAGTCCGAACAAGCATTTTTAATACATTGAGTACTCTATAATCCGAATTTCATAGTACTGGATAATCCGAACCTATACCTTTAGGCCTATTTATTTCGTATAGAAATTGTGAGTGAAATGTTCAGGGATTCCCCTAAGTGTTCTTTTGTTAGTATCTGGGATTCACATTACGCAAGGAAGAAAATAATATTCTGTTAAATGATATTCTTGTACTTCAAAGATTAAAAGAAATGGCCTTTATAAATAATCAAAGATGTGTTAAGCAAACAAAAATTACAAATTACTTTAAAAACTAGTAGGTATTATATTCTTACTTTTATGCATATTTTAGTGTTACTTTTTCGTATTTATGTTTTTTTTTGCATTTCGTAATAAAAAATTTAAAAAAAAACTGCTTCGGTAATCCGAATTTTTTGGTAATCCGAATCGCCTTGGTTTGTATTAGTTCGGATTATCGAGTCTGCACTGTACTATGTTCGTTGGAAATTTTCTTCGTATTTTCGGTCGTAGAAGCCGCTGGTGAGGTTTGGCGGGCTAATTTCGGGAATCCCTGTATACCTCAAATATTCAAATTTCTGAGGATATATTTATTCCGTATCAAAATTGTGTGATTTCCGTGGTCCAATAATTCTCGTTAGTGTCGGAAAAACCCTGAAGAAGAAACCTGCTCGATAATTATATGAAACGAGTGCAGTCGATAAAGCTCATCATTCAAGTCGTTACATCGCATCAGAGAAAGATGCAGCGGCAAGAGAGATTTTTTGTGATTTCGTTGTACATCTGTGTCGCGACGCTGTTGGCATTCGTCAGCGGCACCGTACATCACAACTACATCTCCAACAGATTCGATCATTTCACCGAAGATGAATACAACACCATATTTCCCCACAAGGAAGACGAAAGAGGCACCTTGAAGCTCATCAACGTGGTAAGTTCGCCATAACAATCGAAATTCGCTCAGCAATTTCCCATACTCATGATCCCAGTAAACACAAACATCCTTAGGATGTCACATTCATGTCCCGCTAGGTAACAATGCGAATTACAACAAAATATCATTGGTATTGCCAGGGGACTCTTTATTTCACAACATTCGCAATATTCGTCACATTTCATTCGATTTGAGACTTAAAATGGAAGTGAATTTATGAGGCTCCCTAATAACCAAGAGACTCACTGGAACCTCACATTCTGGTCCATTTATGTAACAAACGGAATGTCTGTGTAGTTCATTTGGCATCATAATGTGAATCATAAAATGACCAAAAGAGTCCGGAATAGCAGTCATTGTGATTTCAGTGGGACTCTCATTTCGAGCCACGGATGTGATCTCCCAGTAAACACAAACATCCCTGATTGGATTTCACATTGTCTCGCTAGGTAACAATGCAAATTACAAGAAAACATCATTGATAATGCCAGGAGGCTCTTCATTTTACAAAACATTCGCGAAATTCGTCACATTTTATAGGATTTGAGACGCAAAATGTAGGTGAATTTTTATCTATTTATGTAACAAACGGAATCGATCAATTCTGATGTCGAATGAGGAGTCGCTTATTACGTACTGTATGGTTCATTTGGCATCATGATGTGAATCATAAAATGACCAGAAGGGTCCGGTATAATAGCAGTCATTGTGATTTCAGTAGGACTCTCCTTTCGAGTCACGGATGTGATCTGTGGCATGAATGTGATTCAAATAAAAAAAAGTTGTGAAGATGACTGCAGCAACGCCTTCGAGCATCTTGCATTACTGTCCTTTGATCTATAATGTACTAATCCGTGTAACCATAGGTAAATTGACAAAAAAAATAGTCTATTTACTCCTGAAAAGAAATATGCTCAGATAAACTATGAACATGGAAAATTGGATATATGTATATACAATATATGAAGAAATACATTGAGAATACGCATGTGATGAAAATATCAATTCTTTCTCGGTTTATTCAACAGAAATCTGCTTTCCTTACTATATGCCACGACAAACATTGCATTATATCTATTGAACACACATGATAAAGATTTTGGACACGCAAATCCTCTGAAGTTGTGAATTTGCATTCTCCTTCAGATAAAAATATGTATATGCACATATCATTCTGAATATTCAACAGAAAACAATTACTTTCCTGGCTATTTGCCATGTCGAACATTGAATAATATCTGTTGAACATCCAAAAGAAGAGCATGACATTCTATCAAATACTCATCACGCAAAACTCATATATTATCATGGATTTTGCTATGCTCTTTGAACAAAATCTAGTCTGTTGGTAGAAAATCGAAGGTATAAATATTACTTATACCTACTTTATTCTTGATCGCAGCTCTTCAGACATGGCAACAGAACAGCAGACAGTCAAGCAGAACTATATCCTAGAGATCCATACTTGAACAACACGTATTTCCCTTACGGACTTGGACAACTAACTAGGGTGAGTGATTGAAAGATTATAAAACTTCGTAAATATGAGAAATTCATTTTTTTTATCTCTGTAAGTTGGTCGAGAAGGTAGATTACCTATTTTATATATTTTTGGGATTTTCTCAATAAATGAAAATATTAGTATAATTTCAACCTAACGCGTGTAAAAGGAAAAATCAGATGATTTGCCCCAAAATGTCACTGCTCTTAAAATCTCATTATTAGGAACCTGAGAGAATAAATAAATGATAGTCAGTGACACTTCGTCCGAAAAATGTTTGAATAAGAAAATGAACTGGGTTTATTGAAAAAATATAAAATTCCACTTATATTTGGACGTTTCGGGATCCACTCAGCTACCGATTTCTACCGATTTCAACATGAAAATGTAAAATAATCCATGTTGTTGTTTCAGATTGGTAAAAGGAGGGAATACGATATAGGAGTAGCACTAAGAAAACGGTACAACAATTTTTTGGGACAATACTATTACCCCGAAATAGTAGAAGCTATCAGTACGGATTACAACAGGACAAAAATGTCCCTTCAGTTGGTACTTGCAGGACTTTTTCCACCTAGGAGAGACGACATGTTCGACGACAATTTCTTTTGGCAACCAATACCGTTCAACTATTTCCCCAGACCACAAGACAGGGTGAGAATAGTATTTATCATACATTTTGCACAGAATGAATCATAAACCACTGATTTCTCACATCTCACGTGGATGTTATCGAAGATATACAAAATCGGCCATTGACCATAAATTTTTTCCATGCTTCCAATACTCGATATCTAAAAAAATTTAATGTTAGGAAAACTCACTTTAGAGATCTTCATATGATCTTATTCATTCAAACTGATAAGGAATACAAGTGAAGTGTCGTCCTACTAACGAATATATGGGAAATGGAGTCTCTAAACTTTATTTCCTAAAATATCACAACGAATCACCCCTTGAATTTTTCGGTGTTATTCAGATACACCCTGTATAATAGTGCATAATTAATTTGGAAAATAGCTGGTATATAAAACCACTGTATATGTACCAAACTCTTGAACGCGATATCCTTGTTTGGATTCTGAAATTCGCAGATGCGAGAAATATGCAAAAAATACACTCTATGACCAAAAGGGGTCATCTTCAGTGATATACACTGCTCGTCAACAGCCATGGAACTACCCACATGGCTTCTGGCCAGCAGTTTATATCACTGATAATTTCAGTTGCACACTGTATATATGAATGTCAACTAATTTTTCGATTTTGTTCCACTGAAATATTCAGGAAATCGGTAAAGTTAGGTTGAGGGAAGAATAGTTCAAAAATAAGAATTAAACAGTGATCAGTATTTGAGGAATGAAAAATTTAATGTTCATGAAAACGTATCTTGAAATTCTCCATATTTTCTTAATCTGTCTGGAAGGATTTCATACATCCTTAGTTCTAACTCGGTTTATTCTATTCGATTCTCTTCCTGTTTATGAATTGTGGTTTCGGCTCTTTCTCTCAATACAATTCTGTTGTTTATATCATTTAAACTTCCGGTCTGAAGTGCACCTAAAGGAAATGCGAACATTATAGGAATTTCCTTTCGTGCGCTTCAATAAATATAAAGAGATAAAATATATTCAATACTTTCTACCTGGAAATTTGAAATCCTCGCTTTTGCTGCCTGGACCTAGGTATATTTCACGCCATCCGCTTGAGAGTGATCTAATCGCGATGATCGATGAAAATCCGAATGAAGTAAATCGATTCTCAGTATTTTCAGAGTTAGAAACATCACAAACTTGCATCGCATTATCTTTCCCATTTGGTCTCAGTCTAATTAACCTTCCAAATGTATATATCATGTACGTACCAGCCAAAACCATCGTGTCATTTTTATTTTGCAGGAATAATTGATTGAACTAATCACTTTCTTAGTTAGACATGGAAATGTAGTTTTTTCAACTTTTTTTCCTCACTAAGACCTTGCTATTATAATTTTATGACATCGCCTGAGGTCCTTAGATATAAGTTCACGTCCAATCATGGCCACCTATAGATGCATTATTCAAAGTGACTCTAAAAAAATGGAGTAGGCGTAAAAACTGAAATCTGATGTTCCATTTAAAAAATTAAAACAGAAGCCTTTTCCGTTGAAACCGGAAGTGAAAAACATGCGAAAACGTTCCTCTTTATATACCATATATAAATATTAAATTTCATTTTGATACACCAAATATTCTGGAAGCTATGGCTTGTCAAATAGATTTGTTGTCTGATTATCAATAATTTCAATAAGGTATATTAGGATGCTAAAACGGGCTATTTTTTCAGGTATTGTTGGGTGTCCTGTGTCCAAGATATCTGGAAATATACGAACAATACTGTGCCTCGAACCGAATCCAGGGAAAATTCCAGAAATACCAAAAAATCTTCGACTACGTTTCTCAGCACAGCGGCCTGAACGTGACAAGATTTCAACACCTCTACCAATTGTATTTCGGTTTGTCCACGGAGAGCGAATACGGTCTGGACATGCCTGCTTGGACGAACGCCGTTTGGCCGGACACCATCGTCAAACTGTCCATCGAAGAATACTACATCTCGATGGGAAACTCCAATCTGAGGAAAATGGCGGCCGGCTATTTTTTGCACAAACTCTTGGAGGACGCCCGCAGAAAGATGTCCGACACCAGCAAACTGACGAGAAAGATCCATCTGTATTCTGCCCACGAGAACAACATTGCGCAACTGTTGATCGCCCTCGGAGTTTTCGAGCCTCATATCCCCAATTACGGGGCGTACGCCATACTGGAGTTGCACAAAGTCAATGGGGTGTATGGTTTCAAGATTTTTTATGACAATTGGACGGGAGGTGGACCGCGACTTTTAAAGATGCCGCGATGCGGGGAATTTTGTCCGTTCGATAGATTCATATCTTTGATCGACGAACATCTTCCAATCAACCACGAAAATCTGTGTGGGAACTGAAAATTATTGCATACCTATGTATAAGATCTTATTCTCAATACACTGAAATCAGTCTGAAAGGTCTGAACTATATCTGTATAAAATGATACCACTGGCCACGTTTATAACGTGTCTTATTGGTTTGCTGACTAATGATAGATAGATAGATAGATATTTATTGGTCTCAATATTACAAATTCATGTACACCGCAAAAGAAAAACAATACATTAATGATAGAGGTCAGTGTGGTATAAACTGTCCACTTAGTAAAGTTACCAGTTTGGTTTGGTGTGGTTTGTGGATTGGTACCGAAATTTGTTGCGAACCAGATTAAAATAGACCAAGACGGTGTAAACGCTTATTTGATCTACTTTTGTACAGCGCCTTGACTTCAATTCAGTGCAATAGTTTCAGTTGTTTATTTGTGATTCTGCAAAACAAGTTTCATCCAATTTCCGCTAATTTTTAATCTTGCTGGAAGGTATTTTTTTCATTTACATATGGGTTGCGTGCTTGTTGCGTGCAAGAACTGTCATATGACCGACCCTGGAGGAACAACATTGAAACACAACCTCACTTTTCTTATTTGTTTTTTGTTTACAACTGATTGAAATTGTTTTTCACAATTATTTTGGCATACGAATCGTGTTTTTCGGCTATTCATTGATTCGCTCATGCAATGATGGAAGTAATATATGGTGTAATTACTGATGCGCTTTGGTTTCAGAAATTTTACTCGACCTCTCGAGAACACTGAGAGCATAGGCGGTCGATTCATTTTTCTGAAATTTTCAATACGTAATACGCGCACCATATCTTACTTCCATCATTGCTCATGCCATCACATTGTGCTGTGCTGTTGTACAATGCACAAAAAATGCAGCGAGAGACAAAGGAATCCGGTTAGTACATTATAATTCAAAAGTTAGTATCTACTATAGTCACTCACATATAGTTTTCATTCTGAAATTTGATAATTTTTTCTGATTTCGAATCGGAATTCCTTTTGCAATAGGAGCTAATAGAAATACTCGTGAAATTTCTTAAAGAATGCAAGAAGATTGGATTCAATCAAACGGTAGGACTGGTCTGACATGCTGACGAAATATGATCGTGTATGTGCTGTAGACATTTTCAATCTATTAGCAGTATTATATGTATATAGCTTATATTGCAGAAGTGCGGCAGAAGGAATTTCAAGAAGAAATGACAAAATTTCATAATGAAAACTATGCGAGATTACTATTCACCTGAAAAGTCATATTCCTTAATTCGTCTCTCGCTGCATCTTTTGTGTATTGTACAACAACAGCAAAATGAGAAGGCATGCTTGAATTAATGAATAGCGTAAAAAAACACGATTTAAATGCCAAAATATTGTGGAAAACTATTTCAATCCTTTGATTCCTCTGTAAACAAATAAAGAAGTGATAGGTTGTTTTCAATGTTTCACAGAAGAGTGAGGTTGTCTTTCAATATTTTACCAATATATTTATATTGAGTTCATTGTATTTTTATTTTACGTACTTTTACTTCCAGGGTCGCGGTAATCTTGCACGCACGCGACCTATTCAAGTGAAGTTCCCCAACCTAACCTCAAAATAATAATCGAATTAAAACAATGTTGGTATCATGGACGTATAAATATGGTGTAAACATGCGTTAACTAAGGTGTTTGGTCTGACTTTGGTCAGATCACCTTGGTTAGCATACCAAAATATCCATACGGTACGGTATACACGTGACCACAGATTGACAATATACAATATATCTTCAGTATAGGTAGAAAATCATCTTTTGTTCTGAAACCTTTTTCTTATAAATTATATGAAAATTCACATATGGGAGTTTAGATTTAAAACTCTATGTAAAAAAATCCTGATATGATTGTATTCTAATAAAGATACAGGGCACTGTCTAAAATGATGTTTGTTTTCTTTCCATTTCCACTACATAGTTTGGCAACAGTGTCGACAATAATTAATATAGTGGTGTTTGGTTTTGGTAAGACTGGTAAGAGAAACACAGCAAAAGTGTTTCGAAACATTACGGAAACTAATTACTAGACACTTTTGAATGCGTATGATTTACAACTTATCTTATCTCACTGCAGCGGTAGTAGATATACTTAGTTCTTAGTTCACGAGAAGATAAGAAACCACGGAGTCCAAGTCGTCAAGATTTACTACCTAAGTCAAACAATGTCGCTCGGGAATCTTCATGTAATCAAACAAAGCAATAAAGTATGCAGCGCATCAGTCATATTCCTACACGGTTCAGGTACGGAAATTTTAATGGCTGGTTTTTAAAAATGCAAGGCATCAATCAGGCAAGTTCTTGAGCGTAGACATTATTGCCGCATGCCGCATGTTTTACCTTGGCTTGTCTAATGAATCTAATAATACCAGTAGGGCAGTAGAATGATTCATCAATGACCTATAGGTAAATGTATATCGAAATGGGAATAAAATGTTTCACGTGATATCGCAATAATTTTGTTCATGGATCTAGACTAGAATAGAATCTAGAATAGAATAGAAACTCAAAACTCAACAGGCCAAAGGACTGACGTGTGGTGTGAGGTGTGACTGAGATGGCTACGTGTGACGTAACTTTAACTTCACATTGGAAATTGGAAGTGGAACTCTGATATGCAATGTTGCAAGATGTAAAATTTTATAAGGGATCTCACGATGCATATTTTTCATTAGAGGAATTGATGTTGAAAATTTTGAAGCAATTCTCACAATATATAATCTTTTGTTTGTAATGAAAACACCATGATTTATAAATTTACAGGAGACACAGGCCAAGGGTTACTGAACTGGGTGAAATTCCTGATAGGAGACGCCGCTACTCACCCGCATATAAAGTTCTATTTTCCCACCGCCCCACTGAGACCTTACACGCCAATACAGGGTGAAGTAAAACTGCCGACCCGATGGTCGAGGGGCTCTCCCAGTACATTATTTTCTATGGTTTCAGCTTAGCAATGTTTGGTTCGACAGGTACAGCATCACCCCGGATGTTCCGGAGCACCAGGAAACTCTTGAATCTGCCGGAGAGGCTATCAAGAATCTGATAGAAGACATTTCCAAAAAGGACAATGTTCCGCTTAATAGAATCGTCGTGGGTAAGGACTTTATTTATATACCAAAAATGTACCATTTGTCCTTGAGAAGTAGTAGTAATTGCGTTTCATTTGTTCCATTCTGGTAAGGTGGTGGGAACAGAATGACGTTTACAAATAGAACGAGAAACTTCAGAGAGAATTGATGACATTGACAATTGACAACATTATAGATGATAGAGGTTATATTTATCTATTCGGGGTCCTATAATAATTTCAAAATCATAACTAGAGTTAAAAAAAATCAACGCATATTTTGAGCAGTGATTGTGGTGATTGGAGAAGGTTCTCTGGGAACGAGAGTATTTATTTTATCTGGGAATGAAGAAATACAATCTGTCTTATTTGAAAAGAATCATAAACTTGCGAACCTATTGATGAAAATGTCTTCTACTTTGAAAAAGTTTCGTTTTTCTTCAATCTAATCTAATTTTTTGACAACTGTCAACAGTCATTCCACTTCATTCCTTGTCAGTGAGACGGAATGAAGAGTAGCAAGCGGAATCGGAAACAAATAGTGAGAAGAGTTCTATGTTTACATAAAAATAAGTATTGATGAAGGTGTTAGGTGGCTGTCATATTGAACAATTTATCATAAAAAACGTCCTGTCCGTGGTTCTGCCTTTGTTTCCACTGTCAACTAAATCTTATATTACAACAATGTTATCAAACTTGTATTGGGAATATATCCGTTTTATCATTATTAAATGAAACATTTTCTTCGGAAATATGGGGAGTATGAAGTTTTTCAATAGTATAACAATTTGAAGATATCTGTCTTCTCGTTAAAAAATAATTGAGAACCATTTATTTCCGCCCTTAAGAATGTACAGAAAGAGGGATGAATGTATAGTTTCAATCCTTCTTCAATTTGTTTTTGGTTTCTTTGATTACTGATGAAGAGAACTCGCGGAATAAAGGGAGTATATTAATCCTCTGAAATGCACTTTTGTCAAATTTCATCAAATCTGTTCCATTCATTTCTGAACAGAGGGAACAAAAATATGTTTTTTTGAACTCTTGTCATGGACAAACGGTGCATTTTGGTACATACATAAATTGGATTCAATCAAATTATTTTGACCTCTATTACACATATATGCGGTAGCTCTGTGTCCCAGAAATTTTGGGACACCCGGTCTACACTTATGATTATATGAATACTGTAAGGTGGCCCTCTTTTCAGGATGGATGTAGATTCAAAAATTAAATATCCATCACACTAACATTATTATTTATTCTCCATTTTGTTACAACCTGCGACATCGACTATCACGCAACAAGTGAGGTATGAGGTCATGGTGAACAAGTGTCTCCTATATGACACTTGACAATAATGACAGTCCTTTCATTGACACAATATTCAGTGTTGCCAAACTAAACCCATGCACATGTGGCGGCAAATTTGAATTTAAATTTTATCATCCTACAATACCTATATTTACCTAATGAGAAATCTAATAATGGCAAAACTTTTTTCAAGGAGGTTTCTCAATGGGTGGAGCCCTGGCCCTACACACTGCTTACAGATTTGTCCCAGGCTTGGCAGGCGTTTTTACATTATCCTCATTTCTCAACAACAATTCTGCACTATTGAACAATGCCAAACACTTGGACATCCCCCTGTACATGTGTCATGGAGATCGAGACTCTATGGTGCCAATTTCTTGGGGCCAAAAAACTTACAGAGATTTAACTCAACTGGGCATAAAGGCAGACTTTATAACAATAAAGAACACGATGCATGAACTGAAAAAGCATGAAATTTTGGGACTCTATGAATGGCTACAGAAAATAGTACCCTTGCAGGAAACATAATTGTTGGAATATTTTATTGTTGATTGTTTATTTGTGCCATTAAAAAATTTGTATTTATTCAATCAAGAGACAAGAACAAAAGAAAAATGTGGGTAGGTAGAAGTAGTATAAGATTTATTGAATTTGAGACAAGAAACAATCTGTGCATATTGAATGAAATAAAACTTGATATAAAAAAGTGAGAGAATCTATCAATTGTAATACCTCCTAAAAATAACCTATTGCAACTTCTTCTACAAGATTCCCAATGATCTTTCAACCATAGCATGAGGCTGTCCAGATAGCTCTAGGAACTCTGGAGTATTGAATACATCTTCTGGACCCACTTCCAAGTCCCTGCCAGTCAAAATGTCATGCATGATGTTAGAGGAGGGCAAAAACTGCAGTCTACCAATCTTTTTAGCAGATTTCAATTCCATTGCTATTCTTAAGGGAGCATGTAAACCTTGTGTGTTTCTCAACATGGTCATGTTCATTTTATCAATATTATTCCTGTACTGAAAAAAAAACGAGAACAATCACTTTTTGGGTAAAAGTGCACTTATCATGTGATGGGGTTTTTTTCGAATTTTTTTTTTGGTACTTACGTATTTTCGTCTGAAAAACACGAATTTCATAATGAAAATGTGAACAAACCATTATTTATTAAGATATTTCACTATAAAGTTACAAATTTCACCATCTTTTCCGCCTGTCTTCTGGATCACATTTAGAACAATTTGCCCTTCTTTTTCCATCATTGGACAATTTATATATATCACAAAATGTTGGACACATTTTTTTTATTATTTGAGTCAACTAGAAATATGATTTTCTTGTGATTTATCCATGTTTAGTGAAAAGAAGGAAGAATATCATTTGAAATAATGGCGTGTGTAATGTCATTCCAAAGCAATCTATTGACATTTGACATCTCGTATTTGGATTGCATATGGATTAAATGGCCGTCATCTGGTATGCTTGCTCACTAAATAGGAAAAACTCGCCTTAAAAATCATATTTCCTGTTGAATTTTCTATCTTAAAATGTGTCAGTGAAGTACATCATGAGTATATAAAGTGTCCAATGACAAAATAATAAGAGCAAGTACCTGTAAATGCATTCAACACAAGGGGGAAAAGAACTCAGAAAAGAAGGCAAAATTTCGATCCTTTTCTTGAAATATCTCGATAAATAGTGGTTTGTTCACATTTTCATTATGAAATTCGTGTTTTTCAGACGGAAATACGTAAGTACCAAAAAAATTTTTCGAAAAAAACCCCATCGCATGATAAGTGCACTTTTACCACTTTTTGTTCTATTTGTAGAAAGAACAACTATACCTACTCTAATAGGAATACATAGGTAATAAATGTTTTTTGTCATTTTAATTTTGAGATTACTTACTTCACGTTCTGAAGATGCAACTGGATGAGCAGCATCTCTAGTAGATCTTGCAGATGCTAAGCCACAAGTCATCAAATCTGGAGTGCCAAATGTACCCCCTTTTATATTGAAGCTGTCTGGTTCAGATGGTTTAACTTTTACTGATGGAAGGGCGAAACTCTGAAAGAATTCATTAAACTCTAATTCATATAGTTTGTTTGTATACTTACCATTTTCAAAATAAGGAAATACGAAATACTACAGAGTTCAAAAATACAATCACGTTATGTATGACTCTGCAGAAATAGGAAATGAAAATAAAATAATTCAGAAAATTCAATATTCAATTATTATGACTTCTGACAATTTTGACATTGACAATCAAAAACCAGAAGAAGCAGGAACCAAATAAGGACTCTTGCAACTGGATGTCCAACTCTGTATAAGAGACGAAGAAAAGAATCCAAAATAAGAAGAACATTAAAGAGGTCCTCAGAAAGTTATCAAAGAGGAAGAATAAGAAGATGATAACCTCACTATACTTAACTGTCAAGCGCTGTCAGACTAGTCGATCAGTCATCAACATCATTATATAATTTTATAACAAAAGTGTTGTCAAATTGTGACTGATAGATAATTTTAATTGATACCATATACCGTCGAATATGTTATATTAGCAAATCAAGTTTCAGTAATGATAAGATAAGTAGTTGTTCAAGTTGTGAAGAATACGTGAGTGAGTTGATAATGATATAAAAATAAAAGTCCTTAGAAATTGGGAGGTAATAATGGGAACCACAATAAGGATGAATGTTCCTTATGTGAGCAGTTTTTCAAAATACCTCATCATACTCCTTAGTTACCTCTTTTTTATTCGTGCAGAAATAGAACCTCAAGCAGTCCAGGAGATAATGCCAACAATGGTAAGTATCCAGTTCCAGGCATAAAAACATGAAAAGGTTTATGGCCTCTTCATCAAAGATCAATTCCCTTATTATTATTCATTTTTTTCTTTTATTTTAGTCTCTACCCAATACAACACCTAGTAATAGCATCAATGCAGAAAATGTAGGATTTCTGCATGCTTTTGTAGCAAGTCTCAGTGTTATTCTTGTATCAGAAGTAGGAGACAAGACTTTCTTCATAGCAGCTATAATGGCAATGAGACATCCCCGACTAACAGTCTTTGGTGGAGCAATAGCAGCTTTAGTTCTCATGACAATTCTATCAGGTAAAAAACAACTACATTGCAACTACCTAAGTATTAATTGTGAAATTAAGTTATTATAAAGCCATTTTTCCACACTTAGTTTTTTTAAAAGATGCTTGATGTTCAGTGCCCACTGTTCTTGAGATGCACAAATAATATAGGCTTCAACAAGGGCTTTACTGTTCATTTCTCATGAATGTAATTTGTTCCTGAACTCCAACTCCTTTTTTCAACAGATTATTTTGTGGCATAACCTAATTTGAAGACAATAGTGATATACTACCAAGGAAAAAATATAATGCAAACTCTTTGATCTGGTAGGTAATTGTGAGATAATATAGATATAGATACAATGGTAATCTCTTCATTATCTTCAAATAACTAATATAATAAATTATGGTTCAACTTTCATACTTATATTGTTGATTCTTTAAATCATTCTAGACAAATTAATTTTATCCTTGAAAATTTTGTCTGGCTATAAAAAAAATATGTATATCAGACAAAATGGTCTTCTGGAAATTCAGTTTTTGTTCATAATATTCTTTCTTTATAACTGAAAGCTGTCAAATTGGTACAGGAAGGTAGGCATGTATACAGCACTATTACCAAAAATATATAAAAGCAGTGGATTTTCTCAAAAAATAAATTGGTGATAGTGGTTGATTAAGGTTATTATTGAGGTAATAATTATTATTCAAATAATGGTTTCCTGGAAGCAGTTTGAAAAATCATTGATGCATATCAAAATAATCTTGGAACCCTATGCGTAGAAAAACTTGAATTATATATTATTTCAACTATATCTTGATTTTTAATTTATGAAACCAACTTATATTAGTCTCTGGGAATGTATTATATGTGGTCATGGATCAAGTTAAAATTGAATGTAATCTCAATATGTATAACCTGGAATATATTTAATTTTAATATTATACTGTACCAATTATGGATTGTCCATAGGGTATAAAAAATTGAAATCATTTTGAAATGCAAAATCAATCCACTTAATTTTTTCAGCTGTATTTGGTTGGCTAGTAAATGTGATACCAAGAACTTACACTTATTACATAAGTACTGCCCTGTTTGCAATATTTGGGTTGAAAATGTTGTGGGAAGGCTTCCACATGAGCAAAACTGATGGGAGAGAAGAGCTGGAAGAAGTCCAGATGGAACTCAGACAAAGAGATGAAGAGGTAACAAAGATCATTTTCGAACTGTCTGGAAATATAGATGCACACATATTAATATTGCAAAAATGAATATTTCATGAGCATTTGAAAGGTTTGGTCACTTGTTATGTATTTGGTTTAGAGACAAGTAGATCATTCCCAACAGTATTGTTCTTAAAATATAACATGAAATGAGAATTATTTTAATATGTATTGTTACATATGGATGCATAATGAACTTTTTATAAACCTGCTTTATCTATTGTTTTTATCAATTTTAGCATGAAAGAGAAAGAGAAACAGTAGTGGATCTGGAGAGTGGCAGCAACAAAAGGAGATCTGTGTGGTATGAAGTATTCAGGATATTTTTGCAGGCCTTCACATTGACGTTTTTGGCAGAATGGGGTGACAGATCTCAGCTGACAACTATTCTTTTGGGTGCCCGAGAGGTATGCTTCCACATAAATCACATTACTACCTGACCATCTGACAGAGTTGAAGCAACCTCTGTATTAACTGAAAATTTTGAAGTTCATCATTCTCAAGCCAGTATTATTTGTAACTGTTCAGAAAAAGTTCCAACAATTTTTGACTTTATTTGAATTGGATTTCCACCATTTCACCTATGATACCACTAGAGCTCCAATTTTCTGTTTTTAAGTGAAGCCAAAGTGGTATTCCCTAAGAAATTTCAACAGGAAAATACCATGAAATACATATTATCATTTAAAGAATACTAGGTTGAGATTGGGCTGAATAAAATACAAAGTTGAACTTCAGCTCCTAGGAACTACTGGACGTCATCAAGAATACACAACATTGTGACGGTTGGTTATTTGGGTTGAGACGCATACCTGATTTGTTTCCGATTTCAGCAGATTTGGCATTTTATACCCATGCTGGAGATATAAATACACCTTATTATAGTTTAGTATTGGGATTATAAACATCTCAGTTACGTATTTTTTTTTTATCAGGAAAGCCTTCAAGATTCAAATACTTGCTTGATCTGTATTTCATTCGTTATTCTCGGGATGGATAACTTGTTATTGAATAATCACGGCAAGCAATAGTTTTTTTTGCCTCCAACAACGCTATTGTTTAGCTTCATTTGATTATCAAGTCAAACACAGTGTAGTATGGAGAAGAATAAATAATCACTATTATCATTGTTGATATGCTCACTAACCTAACATTTTCCACGTCTTGTTCCTATAGCTGGCACTGGCGCGTTATTTGCCATCAGAGCACCTGGTCCATACACAAATATGTCATTCTGTGGTTGTATTTATATTGAAACTACAATTCGAACATCCTAGAAAACCTAACCTGCTGTTATGCAGGTAGAATATTCTCACCACATGGATTATTTGTCAATATTTGTTGCATTGCATACATATGGCACGGCATTGGTGGTTACTTCACATGTTTATTTGAGTTAATTGTTTCGGTTGCAGAAAAAATAGCATGTTTCATTCGGATCAAAAGTGACTTTGTTCGACTCGCAAATTTCGCTTTCGCTCGGCTTCGCTAAACGCTCCGCCTCGCAAATGCAAAATTCGCTTGTCAAACAAAGTGTCACTTTTGATCCTAATAAAACAATCTACTATTCTCACAAGGAACTTATTTACTTATATAATGAATTCTTCATAATCTGAAGTTGAATGTAAATGTCATTTCATCTATAAACGTCAAAAAATATCTTTTGTAATTTCATACTCCTAACTCCAAGTTTCATGGTTATACAGACAACTGATTTTCTTATTGGCACAGATTCATTAATATTTTTGTTGAAAATATTGAATCAAGCTGCATGGAATTGTTGTAAATAATTTATTAGAAGTTAACAGCTGAACCTGAGCTCTTGATTTCGGAAAAGTCAGAAGCACCAGAGTTTCAATCACTTTTGCATTGCTGCCAGATCTTCAATAAACCTTAGAAGACGTTCTATGGTGGAAGCGCATATAAGGAAATAATTCTATTTGCGATTTATTGTATTTCATTCATTCTTTAATCATTTATTTTTCAGAATGTTTATGGTGTGATAATTGGAGGTGTGCTGGGACATTCGGTATGTACAGGGATTGCAGTGTTGGGTGGTAGAATGCTGGCTCAAAAAATATCAGTCAGGACAGGTGAGACTTCCACAAGAATAAATGAGCGCAATCGAAAATGTATTCCTTTTTATTTCAGTTACCATCATCGGCGGTGTGGTGTTCCTAATTTTCGCATTCTCGGCGCTTTTCTTTGATCCGAATTCGACATAGAGAAATTAACTATTGATTCAGGCAGTGCAAAATGCCCAAACCGGAAGATTATTCTCGGATCGTTTTGATATGTATATAAGGTGAGTCAGAATGAGACCAAAATAGGATGCATGGGATGCATTTTGGAACATATTGAGAGGCATTTAATATTTTGGCTTCATTGTGACTAGTCCTGCATAATCAGGTGTACTTAAATGTGCTTCTCGGACAAAAATCTGTATATGAATGAAAATAGTTTTAGGGCGAACTTTAAATCTAGAGAAAAGTTGCTGAATTTACCACATATTATTTTCGTATCCAAAAGCATCCATCAGTATCATAGCGAATGTAAATGCATACAAGTTTACCTATAGGATATTAAGATGTCTAGATTTAAAGTAATATCATGAAATTCATTATCATCATCATCATCACATGGCTCATTGAATCGGTAGATACTGAGGTATATACCCCATAACAAATGCATTTATTTTATTTTTTCACGAATTTCGGGAAATATACAGTGTGTCCCACTTACCATGCTCACCATGGGTATCTTTTTAACGGTGAGAGATACGAGGTCGGTTAAATGACACCAAATGTGGAGTTTGTCAAGGCCAACTATAATGTGATAAAATCTATTCGTTTTTGTTTTATACGCAAAAAACAGATTTTGATCATTTTCATGTCTCCTCCGTAACTTCTTTATTTATGAAAATATTCAAATAGGAATTTCACATTCTCATGGCAGTTTTTCGAAGTGATTTCGAAAAAAATATGAAATTTATACCAACTCTTCTAGAATTTGAGATATCAGCACCAACTTTAGTTTTTCAAATGTAGGTCATAGCTCACTATGACTTAGTTACAAATAACTTTTTTTCCTCTTTCAGATGATATGTCGCAGTAATATTTTCGTGTTGATAACAACGGAGTTATCGTCATTTATACAAAAACAAAAAATGATTTGGATGCCGCCATCTTGAATTCATAAATTATAACAGAAAAATCATGATCTCCGACCTCAAAAACCCCCGCTTAACAATTTTGAATGGAATCGGACCAAAACTTGTCCGCCATCTTGGAGTAGCCATTTTTTTTAATTTCAACAAAAATTCCATAATGTATTGTCACCGAAATTATGAACACCTGCCAAATTTCAAGTTAATCGGAGTTATGGAATTTTTGTTTAAATTAAAAAAAAATGGCTGCTTCAAGATGGCGGACAAGATTTGGTCCGATTCCATTCAAAATTGTTAAGCGTGGGTTTTTGAGGTCGGAGATCATGATTTTTTTTGTTAAAATTCATAAATTCAAGATGGTGGCTTTCAAATATTTTTTTGTTTTTGTATAAATGACGATAACTCCGTTGTTATCAACACAAAACTATTACTGCAACAAATCATCTGAAAGAGGAAAAAAAGTTATTTGTAACTAAGTCATAGTGAGCTATGACCTACATTTGAAAAACTAAAGTTGGTGTTGATATCTCAAATTCTAGAAGACTTGGTATAAATTTCATATTTTTTTCGAAATCACTTTGAAAAACTGCCATGAGAATGTGAAATTCCTATTTGAATATTTTCATAAATAAAGAAGTTACGGAGGAGACATGAAAATGATCAAAATCTGTTTTTTGCGTATAAAACAAAAACGAATAGATTTTATCAAAATATTTTTTCACATTATAGTTGGCCTTGACAAACTCCACATTTGGTGTCATTTAACCGACCTCGTATCTCTCACCGTTAAAAAGATAGGTACCCATGGTGAGCATGGTAAGTGGGACACACTGTATAGCAATCCCTACTTTATCGAATTTGCTGAAGGAAAAAAATAGGGACATTGGTAATTCTCGGAAAATTCCAAATACCTTAAATTTCTATTTTTTGTATATTATAAATATTCCTTATCATCTATACAAACTTATTTTTATAAAGTTAGTAATGTTTACGATATTATTCAATAATAATTCAGCTCATATATTTAGGATTACCCCTGTATCAACTGTTGCCATTTACTGGAAAATATGTATAAATTATTTTTATTTTATAGTGTGCCTATATTATATTGTTTTCATATGAAATGAGGGTAGTTGTTTGTTCTGTATTTCAATACCCTAACAACGCGTATACCTCCAAGGGACAACCCAGGGACGTCCTTTATTTTCTACAAGGACGTCCCTGGGATATCCTCTGTCGGGACATAGTACATACTAGGGACGTCCCAGGGACATCCGCTTTCCACAAAATGAGGCATCCTAGGGATGTCCTTCTGGTACGTCCCTGGGATGTACCAAGTACGAAGAAAGGATATCCCTAGGACGTCCCAAGGATATCCCAGGGACATCCCTTCGACAAAAGAAAAAATGTAGATCGAGTACGGATTGAACCCGGGACCTTTGGCTTATCAGGCACGCATCTTACTCCATTGGCTATCGAGCCTCCTGAAGATTTATGTACTAAACAGATTTATAATCAGGACTTAACTACAGAAACCTGAATAAATACAACTTTGTTAGGATTTGGGTATAATTATTATATCATTCTTAGGTGTTTAAAAATGAGGAGCATTGTGCATGTACGATTTCTGTTTGCGAAAAATGCTAATTTCTTAAGAAGTTCTGAAACTTCATTCTTTATTTTCATTACGATTATTTTCCGGAAGAAATACAAACATTTTCAAAAAAATGCAACCTAATACTTTGATGGAATTCAATGACTCTGATGTGAATGGATATCAGATATTCCAGGGACACGAATAGGATAACCTAGGGATGTACCGGGCGGGATGTCTACTGGACAACCACTGCGCGACATCCCCTGGATGCCCCAATCATGTCCTTGTACCGCGGGACAAAAAAAGGACGTACCTAGGACATCCCTGTGTTGTTAGGGTATATTTTGTAAATATCTCTTGTTGGACATAGATCTGTGAAATAATATCAGTAATGAAAATAAGTATTACCTAACCTTATCAGTACTGGGTTACTCCATATATTTGAACAGTTCATGAGTTTTTTGTGTTATATTATCGAATGGTTTATATAAATATAAAGTGGAAACGGGACACTGGAAATTTCGATAGAATTCATTAATATGTGGAAGGAGTCCATGGTAACTCAAGAATTTATTAACTGAATAAATACAAAATGCTCAAAGTCAGTTCCACACAATGTTCATAAAATGAACAACAATGGTAGATTTCGGGAGAAAAGCAACTACTTTCCTGGCTAATGCCACGCAGAACATTGAATTACATCCTCCCGAAATCTATGCATCCAATGCTATAAACGAATACTGATACAAGTGATTCTTTCCCGAATGCCTATAGGTCGCGTGCACGATGACCGACCCTGGAGGCAAAATATTGAAACACAACCTCATTCTTCTGTGAATTATTGAAACACAACCTCACTTTTTTATTTGGTTACAGTGGAATCAAAGGATTGAAATAGTTTTTCACGATATTTTGGCATACGAATCGTGTTTCTTGCGCTATTCATTAATTCAAGCATGCCTTCGCATGCTATGCAGCAAGAGACTAAGGAATATGATTTTTCAGGTAAATAGTAATCTCACATAGTTATCATTATGAAATGTTGTCATTCCTTATTAAAATTCCTTCTGCCTTCTGCCACTTCTGCAATACAAGCTAATACTGCTAATAGATTGAAAATGTCTACAACACACACGATCGTCAGCATGTCAGACCAGTCCTCCCGATTGATTGCATGAATCCAATTTTCTGGCATTATTTTAGAAATTTCAGATGTATCTCTATTAGCTTCTATCGCAGAAAGAATTCCGATGAGAAATCAGAGAAATTACCAAATTTCAAAAATGAAAACTATATGTGAGTGACTATAGTAGGTACTTACTTTTAAATCATATTGTACCAATCGGATTACTTCGTCTTCCGCTGCAGTTTTTGTGCATTTCACAACAGCATAATGTGATGGCATGAGCGAATTGATGAATAGCGGAAAAATACGATTCGTATGCCAAAATAATTGTGAAAAACTATTTCGATCACTTGTAAACAATCAATGTTTTGCCTCCAGGGTCGGTCATCTGACAGTTCTTGCACGCGACCTATTGATTTCGATTTAGTCAGGCCAAGCTAGACACTTACAGACCGGTTTCGAGCTCTTTGACTTGTATCAGTGTAGGGCAGTCTCCAGCCAGCAGTCCTAAGACCGCCGACTGATGATTATTTATCATCAGTTCTACCAACCTTGAGACAATATGAGAGCAACGCCATCTGAGTAGAAAAGAAGGAAATAAACACTATATCTCTGTAATCATTTTCGCTAGACCCCAAGTGTGATGAATTGATGAAATCAGCTCTTCAGGGAGAATCTAAAAATACAATGGAAAGTAGGGTGTTCCATTTAAAAAAATCAAATAGTACTCTGTAGATCGTTTGTTCCGAGCACCTTGTTTTTTTCTGATGTAGCGGAAAAAAACTCGAAAATCATTTTAGATAATATTTAAAATTTCGCAATCGGTTCAAAAATAACTGATGAGCTAGAGGGGGGGGGGGACATTTATGGTGAATCACCCTGTACCTACCTTGCCAATATACAATACTAAACAAATTCAATGAATATGGAAAAAACGAGAAATACATAATATGCAATTTTTCTTCATTAAACTTCACTGAGAAAAAAAACTGAATGTAGGAAACGTTCCCGTTCTTATAGATACAGGATCGGTTTCCCATAATCATTAGCATACCAAACTTCTATAACGGCTTCTAGAAACAAAAATCGATTTAACTAAGGCATTTACGTTTTCTTCAATAAGAGGCTTAAGGGCGAGGTTCGAAATATTTCTGAAATCGAAATATATAAAATTAACGTATCGGAGTGTTACAATACTTTTGTTTGTCTTGAAGATATTGAAATTTGTTTCATTTGGCTGATCCACACTGTATATGCTGTGTCTATACCTACAAATGTATGTTATGGTAGTTCCATAAGCAATTTCGTGAACTGGTATTATATTTTGTTGATATTG